ACACCTCGGAGCTCTTCACAGACCTGATCAACGTGGGCGTCATCTACGAGGTGGCCGAGCGGCTGGGCATGGAGGATCTGCTGCAGGCCTGCCACTCCACCTTCCCCGACCTGGAGAGCTCCGCCGTCACCAAGCAGCCCCCCCTCGCCGTGAGCGAGGGCCGCGCGGGGCCGCTGAGCAGCACCTCCTCGGAGCAGAGCCACCCTCTGGGGGAGATGCGGAGCGGCGGGGAGCACTTCGGCCCCGAGCGGAATTACATCTTGCACGGGGAGGTGGCGGGCAGCTACAAAGAGGACGACAAGAACGCTGTGAGCGAAGGCAGCCAGACCCTCCCCCTGGTGCACCCGCAGCAGCCCCCCAAGGCGGAGCAGGAGTCGGATCAGGGGCCGTTCGCGCCCGCCACGAGCGGGGCCGCCCAGCCCGGCCTGGGCAGCGTCGGCATCGTCGTTCACCCCCCCGCGAGCTCCTGCCCGCAGTACAAGGTCCAGAGCAACGGTGACTACGGCAAGGGCGGCTTCTTCGGCGCGGAGCCTTCCCTGGACGTCTCCACGGGGAGCAACTCCTGCCCCAGCAACAGCGACCACTCCAAAGAGCCGGGTTTTGGGCAGATGGATGAGCTTCAGCTGGAGGACCTGGGCGAGGACGAGCTGCATTTTGAAGACGCCAGTGAAGAGCTGGGCCCCTCGGAAGAAGTCATTGAGCTGAGCGACGACAGCGAGGAGGAGCTGGCCTTTGAGAGCGACAGCCGGGACAGCAAGGCCATGCCCTGCCAGGTCTGCAAGAAGGTCCTGGAGCCCAACATCCAGCTGATCCGCCAGCACGCAAGGGATCACGTTGACCTGCTCACCGGGAACTGCAAGGTCTGTGAAACCCACTTCCAGGACCGGAACTCCCGGGTCACTCACGTGCTGTCCCACATCGGCATCTTTCTCTTCTCCTGCGACATGTGCGAGACCAAGTTCTTCACGCAGTGGCAGCTGACGCTCCACCGGCGCGAGGGCGTCTTCGACAACAACGTCATCGTCCACCCCAGCGACCCGCTGCCGGGGAAGGTCGCCGTGTTCGGGGGAGGGCCTGGCTCGGACCTGGCGTGCGCTGCCTGCGGGAAGCCCCTGGCCAAAGATTTCCACACCGTCCGCAACCACATCCTGGACCACGTGAACTTGAAAAGCCAGACGTGCGGCGTGTGCGACCAGCGGCACCTCAGCCTCTGCAGCCTGATGTGGCACGCGCTGGCCCACCTGGGCATCTCCGTCTTCTCCTGCTCTGTCTGCGCCAGCAGCTTTGTGGACCGGCACCTCCTGGAGAAGCACTTGGCCGTCCACCAGAACATGGAGGAGGCTCTTTTCCGGTGCCACTTCTGCGGCCAGAGCTTCAAGCTGGAAGCGGCGTATCGCTACCACGTCAGCCAGCACAAGTGTGGGGCCGGCCTGGAGATCCGGCCCGGCTTTGGGGAGCGTCTCCAGCAGCAGGGCCTGCAGAAGAGGAAACTGCCCGAGGAGTTCCTGAGCGACGACCTGGCGCTGCAAAACCAGCCGGGCAACAGCAAGTACAGCTGCAAGGTCTGCGGGAAGAGGTTTGCCCACACCAGCGAGTTCAACTACCACCGGCGGATCCACACTGGGGAGAAGCCCTACCAGTGCAAGGTGTGCCACAAGTTCTTCCGCGGCCGCTCCACCATCAAGTGCCACCTGCGGACGCACTCGGGAGCCCTCATGTACCGCTGCACCGTCTGCGGGCACTACAGCTCCACGCTCAACCTCATGAGCAAGCACATCGGCGTGCACAAGGGCAGCCTGCCCCCGGACTTCACCATCGAGCAGACTTTCATGTACATCATCCACTCCAAAGACGCGGAGAAAAACACGGACAGCTGATGGGGCGAGGCGGGGCAGGGCCGGCGGAGGAGCGAATGCTAACTGCAGAAGCTGTGGAAAAGATGTCATTTATTTTATTTAATGGTCAGGCATCATGGATGGAATCCTCCTTTTCTATTTTTTTAATTATTTTTTTTTTTTGGCCTTGCTAGGGCTTTTTAGATTGGTGGCATTGTACAAATTAACAGCACGTAAGCTACATCACTGTTTCCAAGAAGTCTGTTGTGTTTACTTACCTCTGGTCCTGTTAGAGGCCATCGAGCTCTGTATTTTTAGCATTTCTTACTAGGTTTTGAATCTAGATTTTTTTTTTCTAACCTTTTAGCCCACTTGACTAGGCTAACCCTCAGTTTGAGCTTGTCCACAAACTGATGCTGCTAAGATTTTTCACACCTGACCTCAGTAGAGAGGGACAGAGCCAGAGCAGGATGGTGCTGGACTTGAAGAAAAGTTAAAAAAAAAAAAAAAGAAGGAAAAAAAGGAAAAAAAGACTCATTCTGGGCATCACTGGGGTTCTGCTGCTATTGCGAAGAGATAAGCGAAGTCTGTGTCACAGAATCAGCCTCGAAGTTGTTGCTCCGCTGCAGGGGAGGCGCGCGAGCAGCGCGCGTGCAGGGGCGCAGGGATGGAACCGCCGGCACGCGAGTGATAAACGGGTGGTTGTCGCTCGCCAGGGCAGCGCCGGCC